GGGTTAAAAAAGAAAAGATTGAGACGAGAATAGATGTTTGGGAAATTTTTCGGACAGTACAGCGAGCCCACCCAAGTTTAGACAATTGCCTTCTTGGGGCATAGAAAGACATCGAAGACATGAACTAGACGCGTGGCACTCTGACACACCGGCATCCTCGAGAATCGGTCTCTCGGTGCCCCGTATAGTCTCGAGTGACGCGCCCCGCTCTTACCCGATTTATTGCACCAAACTTGGGCGGCCTTTCGCTATAATTATCCGGAGGAATTTTTATAAAGGTTTGGCTGTAGGATTTCTATGGTTTTCCGAAGACAAAGAAGGTTCGCCAGACTTGTTGGTTACGGACGTACAGCACAGGGATAAGGGTTCGGTTAACTCTTTCAACTTGTCCATTACCTCTTGGAGTACCTGTTGTGATCAAAACGTGTTCAATGCGTTGCTCGTTGCAGTAGTTTTTAAATGCATTCGACGTGAATGCAGTGCCTCGATCGCTGATGATACGGCTCCGGTTTTCAAATATCGCTTCTTGTTTCGCTAAGCGTTGTATAACTTCCTCAGAGTCGGTTTATTTTGTCGCGTAAAGCCACACAAATTTTGAAAACGCATCAACTACTACCGAAATATGACGGTATCTTTTCTTTGTAGATGCGATAGGCCATAGGTGATCTATATGGTAAGTGTCCAGTGGCAATTCGCTCTTATCAATCGCATGTAACAATCCTTCTTGCCTCCCTTGTTTTCTTTCTGCCAAGATGCAGCCGACACAGTTTTTCATGACCTTTTCTACCTTTGCTCGCAAATTGCGGAATCAGTAGTCTCTTTGCACGATCCATTCAGTTTTTTTTGCCCGAGAAATGACTGTTTTCATGCGCTCACTTCACGATTTGCGTCTGCATTGCTTTCGGCACTACTAATCGCACATCGTCGTCGCAATCTTTAAATAATAAACCATTTCGTACAACATACCCTTCCATACTTTCTCGCTCACACACCTCAAAAAGTTTAATTAAATCAGAATCCTCACGCTGTGCTTTTCTCAATCGCGCGGTTATGCTTTCTTTGCTCTCGTCGATGGCGAATGTCGATGGTAGAAGACTGCGGCTCAAGACATCGACATGCGCCATTTGTTTACCGGGTCGATGGACTATACAGGGTGTCCCGTAACTCCTCCTAATGGGGGGTTGCTGGGGTGACTCTGAACAACTTTTTCCTTTTCCAAAATATAGTTTGAAGCTTCATTTTTGAATTATTAACGAAAAACACTGGCCAATCAGAGCGCGCGTAGAGCACGCGCTTAGGGACGGAGAACAGAGGCTCATTCACGCGCGATCGAACAAATGCGTACGCCCGACTTCTCGGTTATCGATTGCTGTCAAACAAATTTGACTTTGCACCGCTATTTTTATAAGGCTTAGAGAAATGGTTTTTTGCCGTCATTCCGACGTTTGTATAAATTTTTGAAAAAACTATAATTAGTCGGAATTGCAAAGAAAATAGTGAAGGTCGTTTTTACAACTTTTTTATCTGAGCTCGTAATGAAAATCTAAAAAATACGTTTTGTAGACCTACACTACCGGCCAAAAGTTTAGAATTACCGAGCATTGCAATTTACACAAAAATTTCCAGAAAAAAGTCAGCGACTTTGAGAATTTTTTATCGTTCTGTTACACCCTCAAATATTTTCATTCTTAGTCCTTAGTTTTATCTGTATTCACAACTAGTCACCCACTTTCACCATTACTTATATTGGACTCTTCACCTTCCAATTCTCCTCTCAACTCTCCTGCATAGTCACAGCCCAAAGTCCATCTTCCTAGAACCCTTAAATAGCCCTATTTTCTCCATTTCCGCGTTCATTCTCCATTCTACCACGCGCATGTCACATATCATTAAAAATCTCTGTTAAATAAAGTTCTGTTTCACGCAACGACAATCCCTAAGTGTTTTAATTCAGTGATACCCCAATATCTGCTCCTAGTTTCGAAGAATTGGAGCAAACCGGGCATCACAGTTCGAATCAATCGATATAAGATAAATTGATAAATGTAGAATTGAGATAATCTTCAAATCTATAAAAAGTTAGCAGCAGATTTACTGAAAAGTGGGAGGTGATTCCAAACTTTTGGCCGGTAGTGTATGTCAATTATACACACGCTGAAATTATCATCGAAATCGGTTAATGTTGCTATGAGCTACAAACGGTTAAAGATTGTGAAAATCGCACTATCGCGACTTTCGGCGTAAAACTAATAAATTTGCAGATTCTTACATCTTTCGATGCCTGTCGCTTGTTTCTCCAACCACCGATTTCGATGAAATTATCAGCATATGTATAATTGACATAGATTTACAAAACGTATTTTTTTTCTTTTTCATGAATAACAAGTAAGTCGTTTAATAACTGTGTTCGGTACTTTTATTCGTTATCCGAAAGGAATAAAGTGTTTTATTACTTATGAAAAACTTACCCATTCGTCCACGAATTAATCTGCTTCGACGGAACTGGGTCAGTGTGTCGATCCTGACCTATCCAGGCAATCCAAAACATCTGATGTTACGACCGGGTCGGTGAACTCATATGATCGGCCCTCGCCAAACGTCGCGCGGCCCGTGGAGAAAGTGGGGAAAAAAACAAGACGTCGCGGCGTTCGATGTCTTCTTTCTGCGTTCGACGTTTATTGTTGTCGATGTCGATATTTCTTGTTCCTTTGCGGGCTCTACGTGTGCTCTGATTGGCCAGTGTTTTTCGTTAATAATTCAAAAACAAAGCTTCAAACAACATTTTGGTCAGAGTCACCCCAGCAACCCCTCATTTCCGGGTTTTACACTATTCACGGGACTAAACAGAATGGGGCCCAGGAT